GAAATGATTTTCTGAATGATCCCGAAATACGAATTTTTCATTAAACAGACAACTATCAGAAGTTATTTAGTTGCTAGACTTTGCTAGTTCATTTAATTCTCTGGAGCTAAAATTTTTAAGCTCCAATTTAGAACTTTCCACCCCAATTTCAGGCTTGGAAGTAAAATAAAACAGAGTCTATTTTAACTATTTGTACTCAAGAATAGAAGTGAAGGTAAAGACTGATAGATTAGACTTGTCACTTTCCAAATTTCAGATACCCAAATTTATTCCTATTCCTTTATTAAGAATAACAAATAAGGGCCTCCCCTGGTGGCACAGCAGTTGAGCGCTGGGTTGCGAGGCTGCCCACAGCCTCTGCAGCGCCAGTTCGATCCCCAGCCACCGGCAAGGGTCCCACAAAAAAAGTAAAATAAAATAAAATAACAAATAAGGGATACCAAAAATGTGTACAAAAATCTTCATAGAAGCATTATTCATAGCAGTCCAAAACACCACACAATACTACGCTCAAAGCTCATTTAACAGAAAACAAAAGCTAACTTTAAAATGTTAATTTAAAAACAAAAGGAAAAAATTTTTAAAAACAAAATGTTAATGTACAATTTCAAAAATCAGCAAACTTCAAAAACATGCATCTGGGGCCTCCCTGGTGGCGCAAAGGTTGGAGTCTCAGCACTATCAAGCTGTTGCCAGCCACTGCAACATAGGTTAGATTCCCTGCCAGGGAGCTAACCCACATGGCACAGCAAACCTCTCCTGTCTAGCCCTGCGCTCCCCTCAGCAGTGTATTTCAGTGGATCTGCCTGTTCTGCTCCCTGCTCTGTCTCTGGTAAATCATCTCACCCACTACATCTCTGGCCTATACCCCAGTTCTTATATACATGAATAAAAATAAATCTTTTTTAAAAATTTATGCATTAAAAATATGCAAAATATCCTAAGAATGTCAATGCTTAAATGATTCCTATAAGAGTTTTATAAACTGCCACTGTAAAGCTTAAAGTCTAAAACTGATATGTTAATTCTAAATTCGAATAGAAATCCGTGAGACCAGGTGAAAATAATCTTAAAAATAAACAAAATCTGAGAATTCACACTTCCCAATTCCAAATTTACTACAAAGCCACAGTAATCAAAACACTGTGGTACTGGCATAAGAACTGACAATGAACCACGAATGAAAATCCAGAAATAAAACCTATACAGCTGTGGTAAATTGATCTTTGACCAGGGAGCCAAGGTTATTCAGTGGAGGGGGGAAAAGCATCTTTTTAACCAATGTTGCTGAGATAACTAGATTTCTATATGCAAAACAATGCATCTAAATCTCTTTCTTACACCACATATACGGATCACAGACCTAAATGTAAGAGCTAAAATTATAAAACTTGTAGAAGAAAACACAGGAGTACATCTGTTGACTTTGGGTTAGGAGTTTTCAACTACAACAACAAAGCATAAGTAATAACAGAAAAATCAGACAAACGAACTTATCAACACTTCATCAAAATTTAAAACTTCTTGTGATTCAAAGGACACCATCAACAAGTGAAAAAGGGGCCTCCCCTGGTGGCGCAGGCAGTGCAGTTGAGCACCGCTGTGCTGTGAAGCTGTCCGCAGCCTCTGCAGTGCTGGTTCCATCCCTGCCGGCGGCGAGAATCCCAAATGGCTTGGCAGACCTCTCCTGTCTTGCCCACTGCTCCCCTCAGCAGTGTATTTCGTCAGCCTGCCTGTTCTGTTCCCCACTCTGTCTCTGGTGACTCCTCTCACCCTCCCATGCATCTGGCCTGTACCCGGGTTCTTGTATAAATAAATAAATCTTAAAAAAAAAAAAAAAACCCACAGGATGGGAGAAAAAAAGTTACAAAATCATATCTCATAAGAGACATTTTACCAGAATTTAAAAAGAACTCTTAAAAAAAAAAAAAAAAAAAAGAACCTTCCCTGGTGGCACAAGCACTAATAAAGTGATCCACAGCCTCAGCAGCACCAGTTCAATCCCCTGGCCCACCAGGGAGCTACCCACATGACACAGCAGACCTCTCCTGCCTGGCCTGCTCTGCCCCTCAGCAGTGTATTTCAGTCAGTCTGCCTTTTCTGTTCCCCACTCTGTCTCTGGTAAATCCTCTCACCCCCCACACCTCTAGCCTGTACCCCAGTTCTTGTATGCATAAATAAATAAATATTTGGGGTATTTTTTTTAAGTTTTTTTTTTAATAATTTTTTGAAGTATTTATTTATTTATAGATAGAAGAACTGGGGCACAGGCCAGATGTGCAAAAGGGTGAGAGGATTCACCAGAGACAGAGCGGGAAGCAGAACAGGCAGTCTGATGAAATACACTGCTGAGGGGAACAGTGGGCGCGCAAGGAAAGGTCTGCCAAGCCATGTGGGACTCTCCCCGACTGACTGGGAATCGAACCTGCACTGCAGAGGCTATGGACAGCTTCTGCAGCACAGCTCTCAACCCACTACGCCACCGGGGAGGCCCAATAAATAAATCTTTAAAAAAAAAAAAAAAAACCTACAACCCATTAATTAAAAAAAAAACAATTTATAAAAGAGCAACAAATGTAAATAGACATTTCTCCAAGGAAAATATTTAAACGGGCAATAAGTACATGAAAAGAAATATCATTAGCCATAAAGCAAATCAAAACCACCACAATGAGATACTAACTCACTTCTATCCACTATAATAAAGACAGATAACAAGTGTTGTACAACATGTAGAAAAACTGGAACTCTCAGACACTGCTAGTGGGATTATAAAATAGCGTACTTTGGCAGTTCCTCAAATGTTAAACAGAGAGTTGAACCATAAGATCCCTATGACCTAGGAATTCCATTCTCAAAAAAAAAAATGTAGACACATGTCCACTGAAAAACATGCACAAAAATGTTCACAGCAGCATTATTCATGATAGCTAAAAAGTAGAAACAACAAATGCCCATCACTGAGGTATGGATAAATAAAACGTGGTTGCTGTGTGTGTGTGTTTTTATGTATGTGTACACATATATATATATACCTCATTCCATACACACAATGGAATGAAGTACAGATACATGCTTCGTCATTGATTAACCTTGGAAACATACCAAAGGAAAAAAGCCAGTCACAAAGGGCCATGTATCTATGCCCATAGTAGACAAACCTACAAGAGACAGGTATCTACAGATTAGTTGCCTAAGGCTGAAGTAGGGGGGAAATGAGATAAGAGGGAGCAACTGCTAACAGATACAGGGATTCTTTCTAAGGTGATGTATGCATAATCTATGAACACATTGTATGTTGATACAGACACAACATCTTTCAATTGTACATTTAAATGGGTATATTGGGGCCTCCCTGGTTGCGCAAGGAGTTAAGCACAGCACAGTGAAACTATCCGCAGCCTCTACAGCAGGAGTTTGATCCCCCGGGGGGCCAGGGAGCTATCCACATGGCGAAGCAGACCTCTCCTGTCTCGCCCGCTGCTCCCCTCCGCTGTGTATTTCGGTCAATCCGCCTGTTCTGCTCCCCACTCTGTCTCTAGTGAATCCTCTCACCTCCCCCAACCCGCACCTCTGGCCTGTATCCCCAGTTCTCCCAAGCATAAATAAATCTATTTTTTAAAAAATGAGTACATTGCCTATTATGTAAATTGTACCTCAATAAAGCTATTCTTTTTTTTTTTTAAGAGTTATTTATGCATACAAGAACGGGATTACAGGTCAGAGGTGCAGAGGGTGACAGGATTCACCAGAGACAGGGTCAGGAACAGAACAGGCAGACTGACCGAAACACACTGCTGAGGGGAGCAGCGGCGACACAGGAGAGGTCTGCTGCACCATGTGGGTTGCTCCCTAGCCGGCCAGGAATTGAACTCTGCTGCAGAGGCTGCAGACAGCTTCACTGTGCTGTGCTTAACCCTTTGAGCCACCAGGGAGGCCCCAATAAAGCTGTTCTTTAACAACAAAAAAACTAATATCCGCTCACTTGCAGAAAACAAGGAACATTCAAGACCAAAAACAACCTATGAAAGGATCTGATTTGCTAAGCAAGCGCAGGTTTGAGGCATTCAGAAATAAGAATTTAAGACACACTCCTTGCTCAGTCCTTTAATAGCTCTAAATCTCCACTAAAATGGAATTCTGGCAAGTGTCTGGCTATAAAATATTCACCTAAGATACCTGAGTAAACACTACTTGCCCGTACGTGGCCGAACTGTACTTCCTATTCCAATAAACAATAACTGCAGGAAAACATTCCACAAGGAGCCGGCGAAGTCAGTCTCCAGCAAGAATCTCACACTGATCCTAAGAGGAGGGGTGTGGAAGAATGAGGAAGGGCAGGCGCACGGGAGACGAGGGAAGTCTCGGGGCACTGCAGCCCACGGAGTCCAGTTACACGAAATTCAACTTTTATCCGCTTTGTGAACAGGCCCCAAGGCAAAGTCCTGGGCAGAGGGCACCCGCCGCGCGGCCGAGAGGAAGTGCCGATCCCGCCCCGGCCAGCACGGGATTTCGTGAGGAAGCAGAGGGGCGCCCCAGCGCTAACTCGGGCAGGGGCCCGCGGCGCGGGGAGAGGCGAGTCCCCGCGGCCGGGGCGGCCGGCGCGAACCCGAGCGGAGGGGCCGCGCCGCGGGCCCGTCGTCCGCGTCCGAGCCCCGGAGCGCCTGGAGCCTCCGGCGGGGCCGGGTCGCGCCGCCCGCCCCATCCGGCGCTTTGTCCCCACCCGGACGGCGGGCGGCCCCTCGGCGTCCCCGCCGCGGGCTGAAGGGCCGCGCTGACAGCTCCCGCCCCCCGCCGGGGCTGCGCGCCCGCGAGTCCCGGCGCCCCGGCGCCCCGGCGCCGCGGGGTCAGCCGGGCGGGAGCCGGCAGCGGCGGTCCCGGGCGCTCGTCCTGCCCGCGGAGCCGCCGCCTCAGCCGCCGCCCGAGACGCACGCAGGCCGAGGGCAGGCGCCGAACGCCTCGGACGCCGCAGCCCACACGATTTCCAGCCTTCCTCTTACCCAGAAATTCTCGACGAAATGCGCCATGACCATCGTGCCGCCGCCGTGCCGGGTTCTGCGTCCGCGCCCGCCCGCCCGCCGCTGTGTAAACACGGCCCGGCCCCCACGGCGCCCCCGCCTTTCGCGGCCGCCGCCGCCTTCCCGCAGACCAACCCGCACGCCCCAGGGCGCATGCGCCACCTAGCGGCCGCCGCGCCGGGCCGAGCCCTTCGCCGCCGGGGCCCGGTGTGCGCATGCGCCCCGGGGCTCATTCCCGGGTTGGAGTCGCCTTCTTGTCCGTCGCAGCCGGGCGAGGCTGGGTTGAGTCGTTTCTTGGGAATGGCGGCGAGCCGGGGCTCTGAGGAGTCATCCGGGAGGCGGCCCGCACCCTTCGCGGTGCGGAGGTATGGGCCCAGGGCGGAGCGAATAAGGGACCGGCCAGGCCTATGGAGCCGGCAGCCTGACCTCCCGCTCGCCGCCGCCTCCTGCCGGGACGCGTTTCCCGGCCTTCGCGGGTGCGGGAGGCGCAGCGTGGGCAGAGCGGCCTGAGGGAAACTTGGCCGCTGGCCGCCCCGGTGTAGACTCTGAGGAACCTTTGGCCAACAGGGCGCCTTTCCTTGCCTGGGGACTAAGAGCCAAAACAAAACTTCCCGAGGCCGGAAAAGGAGGAACGCCCAGTGCTGCCCTGGAGCCGCGAGCCGTTGGGGACCCGGGCGCCCGACCCCGCCCGCGCCGCTGCCCCCGGCTCGCCCGCCGCAGACCGGCCCGCGCCGCCCTCAGCGGGAACGTGACCCGAAACGCATGAGTTTCCCTGACCCGGGCCGTCACAAAAGAATGTGTCTTCCAGGACTGGTTCATGTGCGCCCGTGGTTCTCTTAGCAAATTGTGCATTTTGCAAAAAGAAGCAAGTTTAAACACGCCACAGCATTACAGAGAACTAAATCCCCTTCCCAAGCCGCGCTTTCCTAAAGTTTGGGGGGTTGGGGGAAGGGAGGATTCAAGTTCATTGTCACCGGGTCAGCCAGGTCCAAATATGCAGTTCTTTTCGCCAAGCCCCATAAACAGATTGAGTATAGCTTTATGTGTAATGTCACACCGCCTCAGATCTTGTACCATCAAACACAAGGATTATTAACTCTGCTGCTTCATCTCAAGTGCATGAAGCTAAAGTGTTGAGCTGAATGAGTTTATGGTTCTGACCTCTTAAGAATATTTTTTCGAAATATGTAAGGTTTAAGGGACGATAAAACATAATTTCCTTAAAATAATTCACTGAGGACTTTTGAAAAAAAAATAATTCATTGAGGAAAGAGGAATGAGTGGAGGTATAGATGAAACAGTCACCATGAGTTGGCAATTGTTAAACCTGGGTAATGGAAAAAAGGTGGTCAACTATACATCTAAAGTGTACCTCTTTTTGTGTAGGTTTGCTATTTTCTTTCAAAAAACTGCATGATATTGTCAAATACACCTTGTTTTGGGGAAAGTCAAACTTAGAAATAAATATGCTACAGTTCTCTCAGTCTTGTTCTAGTGCTATCTTTCTTGATGTTGAAGAAATTCTTTAAACAATAACAGTCATCCAGCTGGCCCTGCAAATGAGCTTGGTATTAAATTCTTATTATCATCAAGCACCACCCCCATTAGAGGTAGGCAAGAGAGGCCCCTATCATGGACCCTGTTCTTTAATAGACCTCAATTGTCACACATTAATTTATTTAAAAACACCTGCATCCCTTTGCCACTCCTGATCTGATGCTTAACACTGGCCCATAACTATAAACTGTCTCCCATGATGAACACTATAGGGAAACACTTCTTCATAACTCTTGTTCCATGTCTTCAAAACAAAAAGATAGGCTCCAAATGCAGAGAAAATATATGGATAGTAACCATTGATCATAAAAAAAATACACTACTTTGGAGTTCAAGCAGAATTTGAACAGCAGAAGCGCTTTAGTTAAGAGAGAAGACAAATTAGTCAAAATGTCAAATTCTTCCTCTCAGCTTGAATGCAATAATTCTTGCATAGCAAAATGTTTTGCAAAGCAAACTGGTGTCAAGCACAGATCTTCCTTCTCTTAGTGTTACAATCTGTGATTCTGACACTGACAATTTAGCATAGTATTGAAATAGCTGCCCATGGTACACTGGTGTCCATTTGTACTCTTTCCTCTAGTCCCATAAGTACTAAAGGTGGGAGTGTATAGGATAAGTGGTGGTCAGGCTTTTACACAGCTAGCTTCTGTGGCTATCACCTGTGGCCCTGAATGCAGAAGGCGCTTGGAGCGTGGGCTCGGGGTACACATGCCTGATGGTGGACACCTGGAGTGTGGTGTGAGCATGCATAAGTGGGCACACCTGAGCCTGAAGGCTGAGCATATAAAGGCAGTGTCACTCAGAGACAAGAAAACTACTGTGGCAAAATGACTATAAGAGGAAGAGACCACAAAAGAACAAAGAGAGCCCAGAAAAAAGAGAGTAAAGATTTGCCAGGGGCTGGGAGGCCTGCCAGCCTCCAGGTTCCCCTGGCCTCCCTTCCTTGCCAACCTGCGGGCTTGAGCCACAACAATTGGTGTAGAAAAAGCATTAAAGCCTGAAAAAGCCATGGAGGGCTCCAGGATTCTCCTTTATCCATCTGCCCAAATAGACTGAGAACCTGCCCTGTGCTTGCTGGCACAACAGTGTGCCATGTAAATATTCTATGCATTTTGGATATTTACAAGGTTCATTAGGGTCAAAATACGACGTGCTACCATTGCTTGGAATTTAAATTGTGGAATTATAGTAAATAAATGATTAAGATGACTAAATTTCAGACAACGTGGTGTAATAAAAGAAGAATGTGGGTGGTATCAGCCACCTTCTGTCCTCTCAAGTAAGGTGTCCAGGGATGCATACACACTGGCAGAGTGCAGATAAGGCCCTGAGTACATAGCTCACTCTTATGCCTCAAAGAATTTGTGCCACACACTTAGCCCGTGCTTATCTAAACATTCTGAAATTTTTAAAAACTGACATAGACAGCAGTAGTGTTCCACTCACTGCCTATAATACCTGGCACTCAGTAAATGTTCAGTGAAAGAATGGCTGAATGATTGAGACTATCTCAGAAATATCCAGGTGAATAAGATAATTCAATTCTTCCTTTACTCATACTCTTAAGTACGCCAGATCCTAGAGCTTATGAAAATGACATTTAAGTTATACTTAATTTTTCACATTAAATATTTCAAAAGAATTCTTTTGGGTTTGAGTATAATTTTAAAAGGATAAGATAATAAAAATTAAATTTAGATAATATTCAAGATTGGCTCTAGCAGATCTTTTGGGTAATGGCTTCTGAACAAATTGGTCTTTAGTTTTTGCATGGCCCCGTCATCAGATTCATCTTTCTCTTAGGATATTTCTCGTCAATGTTTTGGCTTCTAGGGGATGTATTTGGCCCCATTAAACTCTGGCTTAAGCATATTCTAGCCCAAAGCATACCTGGTCTTCTAAAACATAACTTGAAAAATGATAGCAAGTAAGAGCAGAGAAATTAACACACACACAAACAGAGAGAGAGAGAGAGAGAGAGAGAGAACCCTAACTCTAAATTCTCTGGTTTATAAAATATGGCTTGTCTCCAAGACTTGAGGGCAAGTTACCCAAGAATTTCCTCCTTTTCATTCCTTAGTTTAATCTCCCATTTCTAATCCTGGTTTCACAGCTCACAGCACATTAATCAACATTTAGTTACAAAGGCAACTTCCTCATTATTTCATTTAAAACGAGTTCTATTCCAGAAGAACCGGTTATAAAGTAAAACACATTTTCCCATTTATTTTCAAGATGATATTGCAAATGGATTTCCATTTGTTTCCAAGAGAGTGGCAGAGAAGTTCCTATAAATCTCTCCTGCTCCCTGCTAATTTCTCTTTTTTTTTTTTTTTTTTAATTTTCTAGAGGCATGTCTTATTTATTTATTTATTATTTGTTTGTTTGTTTGGTTTATACATGCACTGGGTACAGTCAGAAGCGCGGGAGGGTGAGAGAATTCACCAGAGCCAGAGCGGGGAGCAGAGCAGGCAGAAGGACCGAAGTACACTGCTGAGGGGAGCAGCGGGCGGCAGGAGAGGTCTGCGCGCCATGTGGGACCCTCCTCCGGTGGCCGGGGAGCAGCCGGGGATTGAACCGGCTGCAGAGGTTGCAGGCAGCTTCGCAACCCAGCGCTCAACCGCTGCGCCACCGGGGAGGCCCCCTGCTAATTTCACTTTAAGGGGTAGAACCTGGGTCAGATGCAGTAGTATTTCTTTATACTAATCTTATACTTGACAATAACAAAGGGCAAAAGAAGCAAGCTCCAACAGAAGGCAAAAGAGAAGCACAGAGATCCCTGAAGTCGGGTGTTCCTTATTTCTCCTTGCTCAAATAGCAGCATATTGAAAGCAAAAGCTATATGCAAAACAGAAAGAAAAGCAAAGGCTTAGCAGATGGCATCAAGGGAGGCTGTTATAAGAGGGTGAAGAGGTAGAAATTGTTAATCCAACTGTAGGATGGAGCTAAATATCACTCTCCACACACTCTTCTGTTCAGATCAGCATGCTAGGACGTACCTTTCTTCTCTCCTGAGTGCACCTAGGATAGACTGCCTGCTCCCAGTTGTGGCAGGTCTCTTCCTCCACAATGAGGTGTAATTCCCAGGCTCTCTTACCTTGCTGTCTGTGGGAGAAGTACAAAGATGCCTGACAGAATACTCAGGGGTTTACACTGCTAAGACCATAGGAAACCCAATGGAGGTTTCAAGAAAGTTAAGAAAATATCAAAATTACAGAACATCACAAAGGTGAAGATAATTTTAAAATATACAGAAATGTGTGCCATTAATGTTAAGTGGAGAGGCAGAAGATGACTTGAAGAATACATCAAAATTACAAATACGTCAAAATATGCATTTAAATGGATAACAACCAAAAGAAAACAGGAGAAAATGTGTATGTATTGGGATGGTGAAATCAATGATGGAAATTAGAAAACAATTAAAAGTTATTTAAATATAATAATATTGTACAATTTCAAGAGCAACCACTATTCTTTTTTATTTGAATA